TGTCAGTTTGCAAGAAGGTAAGTGGACAAGGTGTCTGTCCCTAGGTGATCCAGTAGCTTCATTTCCACAACCTGCTCCAGAACTGAGACCACCCAGCTTACCTCCTCCATGTATCATGGTGATGACAAGGGAGAAATTCCCAATTGTGGTGACAGCTAATGACATCTCTCTACTTACAGGCCAGGACTCAGCCAGTCCCATCAGGAATACACACACAGGCCAGGTGAGAGGCAGCTTTGTCCACATGAGGGACACTAAAGCTGGTGTCCATACCTTCCTGGGAATTCCCTTTGCCAAGCCTCCTGTAGGACCACTGCGCTTTGCACCTCCTGAGGACCCTGAGCCATGGAGTGGTATAAGGGATGCAACCTCAGAGCCGGCCATGTAAGTTCTGAGATCTAGGGGACTTTAAGCCTGTGATCTAGGCCAAAGTGAAGTACTTCCTCCACCTTAGCTTTATAGTAACTTTCTGCCTGTGCTGAGGGGCATCTCCTTTGCATGGTTCTGACAAATGTGCTAAGGATTATAGTAGAGAAATGCTGCAAGCCTGCTGGATCAGAGCTTGTTACCTGTAGGGAGTTAGTTGAAGATACTGCAGTAAGGAGCAGAGACTGCGCCCATTCTTCACTGTCCCTGTGATCATTCACTGTACCTGTATCATTCACTAAGGAAAAATACACATGCTTCCAACTGGAGACTATGTGGAACAAGGAGGTACCTTATTGGCACTTTGAAGCTAACTGAAGAACGCCTTACTATCCTATAAAATGGTATTGTCCATTTATTCCTATAGTTGCTATGTGGGGACAGTATCCCTTGACCCAAGTATCTCTGTTTTGTTTCTGTTGCTGTGATAACATATCCTTAGAGTGAATTATTGAAGACATATTTTATTATAGCTGACAGTTCAAACATATAATCAAACTTAGGTAGGAACTCACAGAGGCAGAACTTTTAAGAAACCTGATTGTATCACCTCCATAATGAGGAATAGAGTTTAAAGTTCACAGGCATGCCTACTAACCTTCACTTACCTTCCCCATTCTTATACAACTGAACAGACCCTTCCTAGGGAATGGTGCCTCCTACCATGGTCAGGTATTCCTATTGCAAAGAACATTATCAACATAACTTTCCACTGGCATGCTGATCTCCCAACAGGATCAAGACAATCTCTTAGTAAGATTCTTTTCCCAGGTGACTAGAGTATGTCAAGTCAACAATCAAATCTAACCACCACACCCAGATTTAGATTTTATATATATAAGGATTGAATGTTGAAACAGAAAGTGTATAATTTTCAGTGAAGCTGTTATAAGTCTCCACAAAGTAGTCCCCAGAATATAGCTATGTATGGCGAGGCCTCCATGAAAAAATTTGTCTCTATTTCCATTTGCACAGGACTGGTGGCCTGTACTGGGGTAGGGACCTTAGAGAAGAATGATGTTAGCAAGCTATCATGGAAAGCAGCAGCTATGAGTGCCTAAGAGAAAATTCAGACTAAGAAATAGATTTGACCACCACATACATTGGAATTCCTGCATTCCATTTTTACTAGGTGTCTGCAGACTGATATGATGAATTCAGAGGAAATGAAAGAGATGAAGCTGACCTTGAGTCCCATCCCTATGTCTGAGGACTGCCTGTATCTCAACGTCTACACACCAGCCCATGCCCATGAGGGCTCTAACCTGCCTGTGAGTGTCAGGATATGGCCATTGGGAACAGGTCATTTATTTCTGTGGCAGATAGGAAGGAACAAAATAATTCTGAGCTTCACTGTAGTTTAGATCCTGATTAGTAGTCTTACCTTATTGAGATCAAGAAGGGCATGTCAGCACATGGTAAGCTGCTTAAATGTGTGTGTGTGTGTGTGTGTGTGTGTGTGTATGTGTGTGTGTGATTCAGAGTTCTGGGGCTCTGGGAGGTAAGATGGTCTAGTTATTAGATTAAATCAGGAATTCTATCAGTTTGGCACACCAACTCAGGATGATGCACAATGACCGACTATTGACATTATCCAAATTTCAAGCAACAAGATATCCCTGCCAGTGGGATTTCAAGTCCTTTCTGATTAGCAATCAGAAAAGTCACCTAGGAAGACACTCCATTGTTTTTCTACTTAGATGAGTCTGAGAATAACAATGACTTTAATTTAGATCTGGAGTCTAATCGATGCTGAGATTTTCTGTTGGGAAAGCAGGAATGGAAACATGCTCACAGGCCTAAAGCTCCTCTTCTGTGGCTAACTTCCTGAGATCCTGAGAAGATCTGTTTGTAGGTCGACTTGCACAGAACAAAGTAGTTGATAACCTGGTGGGGAGTCTTGATGAGCTTGGGTTGTGTGTGGGCCTCCTGGCATCTGAGTTGCTGTCTCCAGGTGATGGTGTGGATCCACGGTGGTGGACTGACTGTAGGATGGGCTTCTGTGAATGATGGATCCACACTGGCAGCTACTGAGGAAATAGTAGTTGTCTCCATCCAGTATCGCTTGGGTATCCTTGGCTTCTTCAGGTAAGCCTGGCACTGGGCTGGGTAATGGGGACTAAGTAGTACATGGGCAGCCATGCAATTCTTCTTCCTGCTACTTCTCAGCACTGGAGACCAGCATGCCAGAGGCAACTGGGGATACCTGGATCAAGTGGCAGCCCTACGCTGGGTGCAGAAAAATATCGCTTACTTTGGAGGCAACCGTGACAGGGTCACTATATTTGGCGTCTCAGCAGGAGGCACAAGTGTGTCATCCCATGTTGTGTCTCCAATGTCCCAAGGACTCTTTCATGGAGCCATTATGCAGAGTGGAGTGGTCCTGCTGCCTGACCTCATTTCTGACACTTCTGAGGGGATCTACAAGGTAAGTGCCCTCAAGAACACCAGCCCCTAGAATGCTACCTCAGTCACTGCCTATTGAGATCTGGTATCCATTTAAGTGAATTTTATGTTTGTTGAGCATGTTATATGATAGCAAAACTCTATCCATTGCTTCTGTCATTGACAAAAACACTTATGCTTGGTTTGCCAGTTGCTTTCTTATTGTTGTGATAAATGTGATTACCAAAAGTTCCTTGGGGAAGAGAAGGTTTATTTCAGCTCACATCTTATGTCCTATCTTGAGGAAATTATGCACTCAGGCATGAACCTGGAGGCCAGAAATTAATCAGAGGCAAAGGAGCAATAAGATTACTGGCTTGTTACCTGTGGTTTCCTAAATTTGCCCTCTTATACAACCCAGAACACTTGCTCATGGGTAGCACTGCATACAGTGAGGTGGGCTCTTCTGCATCAGTCATTTCTCAGAAAAAACGCCCAAATTTGCCTATGGACCAATCTGATAGAGGAAATTTTTTCAGCTGAACTTCCTCTGTCCAGATGATCATGGATTGAGTTGAGTTGAGAAAAAGAAATCTAACAAGAACACATGAATTTATGGAAGGGGCCAGATGATAAAAATATTTCCTGTGCAATTGTGAGGTTCCAAGTTTAAATCCTCTGAGTCCTTACAAAGCTGATGGTGGCAATTAGTGTCAGAAATGCCAGTGTTCCTATGGCAGTGTAGAAAACAAAGACAGAAGACTCCTGGGAGGTGATAGGCCAGCTAAGCTGGTGTAGACAAATGCAAACAAGGGATATCATGACATGTAACAGCTGAGACTGTGCTCTGACCTTTATGGGCAAAATGTGGTACACCATAACTATTGTCACCTGTGAGTAACATACACACACACACACACACTGAGAGAGAGAGAGAGAGAGAGAGAGAGAGAGAGAGAGAGAGAGAGAG